GCAGCATGTCACGCTGCCCAGGGTGGAGGAGCAGAGCATGGGGGGGCCAGCTCGGTCACCCCCTTGCACTGTGGCCTCCTCGTGGGCAGGGCTCCAGGGCTGCCTGGGCACCTTCTCTGCAGGGCGGGTACAGGCCGATCAGCTCTGCTAAGTGGAGGCTTGTGGGAGACAAGGCACAAACCCAGAGGGACTCAGTAGCAGGCTGGGTCTGGAGATCAAAGTGATCTCAGGAGCCTGCTCATGGTGCTTCTCGTCGGTCCCCGTCCCTGCCCCTTCCCACCCACCATGAGGCCCAGGCTGTGCCATCAGAGGCAGTGTCTTCAAGGCTGGCTCTGCAGCTGGGGAGAAGCGATCATGCCCCCCAGCCCCCTCACGCAGGAGGTGATGAGCTGCTCTGGGACAGCGGGTCTGCTACATCCACAATGAGGGCTCCAGGGGAAAACTCAGTGCTGCCTTCTCATGTCACCCCTGCTTCAAACTGGGGAGCTCCCTGCACTGTGAAACATTTTGAGGGGGACTTTGTCCCTCTTTTCCTCACCCCCCCTGATTATACAAGCCCCAGCTTCCTTCCTGCCGAACTATCCTGGAGGGGCCCTGTTGCCAGCAGCAGCAGGGGACAAAAGCCCCCAGCTCCTGCAGCAAGGGAAGCAGCAGTGTCACCTAGGCTGGGTGTTCATGGGGCAGGAACTGGCTTTTCAGGAGTGTGCAGCACCTAGCACTACTGGGGGGTGGGGGGGAACCACTGTAACACAAATAATGCACTTCGGTCCAACAGGACTTGCTGCCTGAGGCCCGCTGGGATATCTCCATGCAGCACGTGGCGCCGGTGGGACGTGCGGAGAGGTGGGGGCGATCACGGCTCTAGTGGCTTGTCTAGCCAGGGGGTTGGGGGCGGGGGGGATGCATGTAATACTGCCAAGAATGAAGGGTCTGGCGCTCAAACCTCCCTGCGGGCTGTTCGGGTTTAAAGAGGTATATTGTGGCCTCCAACGACTCAGTTAACATCATTGCAGGGACGGGTGAGGGAGAAGTTTATCTCAGCACATTTAGTCACGAGACAAATAGTTCGGCGTGAGATCCACCTGCCGGGGAGAGCCAAGGCAGCCGATTCTGTGCGCAGCGGCCAGTCCCTTTCAACGCCACTGTTACGATCCCAGCCAGGAAAGCAACAGGCAGTCAACAGAGCGCTTCACCTCTTCCCTGCCTCCGTCCAACTTAGTTCTTAGCAATGTGCCTGGAAGAGGAAGCCCTTCCACCTGTCAGTTCTATACGACAATACTGTACAGTGACCGTGCCATGTGGTTCCATTTTTATTGTAACAAACTTAACCGTAATGTAATAAAGACGACTCTTTGATTACTCCAGGCCCGGCGTGAGGCTCCCCGTCAACAGGGGAGGCAGCCGGCGCTACTCTCACCTTTGAGCTCTGCATCCTGTGTCTCATTGATCGTCTGGTTTCGGGCATGGCAGGGGTCAGGGGCGTGTTGCGGTCTGGCTGGAGCGGCAGGAGAAAAGCAGCTGTTGGTTACGGTGGGGAAGGTGCAGAATTGCCGGGGCCTCTCCTGGCCAAGGTGACTGCAAGGTGGGGGTATGGGTTGAATCCAGTGCTTACCAGTCAGCTTCTCAAAGCAGCTGGACTGGGCCCAGGATATTCTGGCTGAGTCCAGAAGTGGGGCCCTGCCAACATCCAGCAAGGGCCTCATGTCTGAGTCTCTTTCAACCTGGGCAGAGCTGGGTTGAAAGGCGGAGAACAGGTCTGGAACGGCAGTGGCCCTGCGGGTCGGGGTGCAAGGGGATCGGCAGAACTGGTGCTTATACCCACCTCCCCTTCACCCACCTCCCCAGTGGGAGAGCTGGATGGGGGGCAACAAGGCGTGTGCATAGCCTGGGGCTTGGCTCTTGCCAGCACATTCCTAATGTGGGGGTATCTCCATGATTAGAGCCCTTTGAAGGCCTGGCATTAGCCCTGGCTGGGTAGCTCTCCCTGGGCTGTCCAGTAGCCCTGACTGCGTGGGTCAGTCTAAAGAGCTGTCTTTGCTACCAGTGGAGTCAGAGGAAGGTCCTGGACCCATCTGGACACCCCTCCTCACACCAGCTCCCTGCAGGGACAGTCTCCTTGTGTTGTCTCCTAGGGTGCTTGGCTGTTCGCAGGCAGTGCTGCCAGGCTGCCCACAGCAGAGCCTGGCACTGGTCCCTGGCTGGATGCTCCCACCACCTCAGCAGCACTGGGAGGGCCAGGAAAGGAGTCAAGGACCTGTCCTGGAGCTGTCAGTGTCTGCCTGCCAGTCCTTCTCCCAGCTGCCTGCCTTCTGCAGTTTTGCTTGGGGCCAAGCCCCACCGCAGCCTGGCCCAAACTTGTGACTAGCAGCAAGACCAGATGGCTTTCCCACCCCCCAGGGAGGCTGTTTTTGGCTGGTTTATTTCCACCTAGTCCCTGAGCAAGGAGCAGGGTAGGAAATCCCATTCCAAGGGGAGTGGATGGTGTCTCAGGAGCTGCAGACTCCTTCGCAGAGCGAAGGATGAAGGAAACATCTCAGCAGGTATCAGAGACAGAGAGAGGGAGCAGAGTAGGGGCAGCCTTGTGTGCATATATGTCCCTGTGGGGCCTGATGTGGGCCTGATGTCCCGGAGTGCCCATTCCAGTGCTTCTCAATCTTGCTAGACTCAAACTGGAATTAATAAGGTCATCTACCCTGGGATCTCTTGACAACCTTTTATAGAAGCAGGGCGTTGGCTGCCGTGGTTCCCCTTGCCTTTCCTGCGGCAGGTTCGGGTTATATCTATGTTGTGTCATGGTCATCTTACGTAGAGTGTGTAGATGATAAATTGTGTAGGATGGTTTGGACAGGCCTGATCCTGCCTGGGGCAGGGGTTGGACTAGCGGTGACCTCTGGAGGTCCCTGCCAGCCCGACGTCTCTGCCATGGATAAGGCCATTCATGAATGAGGTGATAGCACCATGTCCTGGGCAACACCAGGTCCTCACTTTCACTCCCGTCTTGACTATGGGGAGTATACTGGAGCAGGGCCTATCACAGGGGGGGCCAGGAGGGCCATTTGGCCCAGGCCTCTCATTCATGGAGGGCCTCAAATTTAGACTTTTGACGTTATCTCCAAATGAGGTTATACATACAGACACAGAGATACACTGACTGGACTGAAAGAAGAAGAAAAAAGCTAGAAAATCACTTGTTAAATAAAAGAAAGACTATTTACTACAAATTATTGTATTGTATTTTGAGCCTCAAAAAACGGAAGTGGCCCAGGCCTCTCTCGCTTTCTGAGAGGGCCTGTACCAGAGCTGTTCTCAGGGAGCTCAGGAAGGCCACAGCGGGTTAGATCCAGTCTCTTTGAGATCTATCTGAGATCATATCACAGATCTATTTGAGATCTATCCTCTCTGAGATCCGTGCTGAGATCCACTGGAATCACATAGAAGATCCAATGTGCTTTGAACCCAACAGAAATCATATTTAATCTGCGGTCAGATCGCAGTTGGAGTACTGCGTGCAATTCTGGGCGCCGCACTTCAAGAGCGATGCGGATAACCTGGAGAGGGTCCAGAGAAGGGCCACTCGTATGGTTAAGGGCTTGCAGGCCAAGCCCTACGAGGAGAGACTAGAGAAACTGGATCTATTCAGCCTCCGCAAGAGAAGGTTGAGAGGCGACCTTGTGGCTGCCTATAAGTTCATCACGGTGGCACAGAAGGGAATTGGTGAGGTTTTATTCACCAAGGCGCCCCCGGGGGTTACAAGAAATAATGGCCACAAGCTAGCAGAGAGCAGATTTAGACTGGACATTAGGAAGAACTTCTTCACAGTTCGAGTGGCCAAGGTCTGGAACGGGCTCCCAAGGGAGGTGGTGCTCTCCCCTACCCTGGGGGTCTTCAAGAGGAGGTTAGATGGGCATCTAGCTGGGGTCTTCTACACCCAGCACTCTTGCCTGCCTATGCAGGGGGTCGGACTCGATGATCTATTGAGGTCCCTTCCGACCCTAACATCTATGAATCTATGAATCTTAAAGCCCCCTCAAGTCCTGCCCGGCCCGCTCAGGGCATTAGCCACCAGCATTGCCAAGTCTTAAGTATGAAGTTATCATATTGGAAGCTCAAAATCATTGTATTTTCTGAAAAACTATCGTACACTAAAAAAATATGCAAATAAGCATCCAAATATATCTTCTTATTTAGTTTATATTGCTCACTGTAACTGGCCAGTGAGTGAGTGAGGACACTAGCAGCAAAGCCAAAAGGTGGTTAAGACTCCCTGAGAATGACTTAGCTGCCTTAAAAATTATCCATGCACGTGCGCATGCACACACACAGACACTCAACACACTCACTCGCTCGTGGCGTTTCATTTAAATCATGGAAAAATGTTCATT